AAATTAAATATAAAAATATTCTTAAATTCTCCCATAAGGTTAACAACTGATTTCTCAGCAGAAACTCTACAAGCCAGAAGGGAGTGGCATGATATATTTAAAGTGATGAAAGGGAAGAACCTACAACCAAGATTACTCTACCCGACAAGGATCTCACTGAGATTCGATGGAGAAATCAAAAGCTTTACAGACAAGCAAAAGCTAAGAGAATTCAGCACCACCAAAGCAGCTCTATAACACATGCTAAAGGAACTTCTCTAAGTGGGAAACACATGAGAAGAAAAGAACCTACAAAAACAAACCCAAAACAATTAAGAGAATGGTAATAAGAACATAAATATTGCTAATTACCTTAAATGTGAAGGGATTAAATGCTCCAACCAAAACACACAGGCTTGCTGAATGGATACAAAAGCAAGATCTGTATATATGTTGTCTACAAGAGACCCACTTCAGACCTAGGGAAACATACAGACTGAAAGTGAGGGGATGGAAAAAGAAATTCCATGGAAATGGAAATCAAAAGAAGGATGGAGTAGCAACACTCATATCAGATAAAACAGACTTTAAAATAAAGAATGTTACAATTTGGACACTACATAATGATCAAGGGATCAATCCAAGGAGAAGATTTAACAATTATAAATATATATGCACCCAACATAGGAGCACCTCAATAAATAAGGCATATGTTAACAGCTATAAAAGAAGAAATTGACAGTAACACAATAATAGTGGGAGACTTTCACACCTCACTTACACCAATAGACAGATCATCCAGACAGAAAATTAATAAGGAAACACAAGCTTTAAATGACACAATAGACCAGATAGATTTAATGGATATTTATAGGACATTCCATCTGAAAACAGCAGATTACACTTTCTTCTGAAGTGCACATGGAACATTCCCCAGGATACATCACATCTTGGGTCACAAATCAAGCCTTGGTAAACTTAAGAAAATTGACATCATATCAAGCATCTTTTCCGACCACAATGCTATGAGATTAGAAATCAATTACAGGTAAAAAAATGTAAAAAACACAAACACATGGAGGCTAAACAATACATTACTAAATAACCAAGAGATCACTGAAGAAATCAAAGAGAAAATTAAAAAATACCTAGAGACAAATGACAATGAAAACATGAAGATCCAAAACCTATGGGATGCAGCAAAAGCAGTTCTAAGAGGGAAGTTTATAGCTATACAAGCCTACCTCAAGAAACAAGAAAAATCTCAAATAAACAATCTAACCTTTCACCTAAAGGAACTAGAGAAAGAAGAACAAACAAAACCCAAAGTTAGCAGAAGGAAAGAAATCATAAAGATCAAAGCATAAATAAATGAAATAGAAACAAAGAAAACAATAGCAAAAATCAATAATACTAAAAGCAGGTCTTTGAGAAGATAAACAAAACTGATAAATCTTTAGGCAGACTCATCAAGAAAAAGAGGGAGAGGACTCAAATCAACAAAATTAGAAGTGAAAAAGGAGATGTTACGACACCGCAGAAATACAAATCATCATAAGAGACTAATACAAGCAACTCTATGCCAATAAAATGGACAACCTGGAAGAAATGGAAAAATCATTAGAAAAGTATAACCTTCCAAGACGGAAACGGGAAGAAATAGAAAATATGAACAGACCAATCACAAGTAATGAAATTGAAACTGTGATTAAATATCTTCCAACAAACAAAAGTCCAGGAACAGATGGCTTCACAGGTGAATTCTATCAAACATTTAGAGAAGAGCTAACACCCATCCTTCTCAAACTCTTCCAAAAGATTGCAGAGGAAGGAACACTCCCAAACTCATTCTATGAGGCCACCATCACCCTGATACCAAAACCAAAGATACTACAAAAAAAGAAAATTATAGACCAATATCACTGATGAATATAGATGCAAAACCCTCAACAAAATACTAGCAAACAGAATCCAACAACACATTAAAAGGATGATACACCATGATCAAGTGGGATTTATCCCAGGGATGCAAGCATTCTCCAGTATACACAAATCAATGTGATATACCATATTAACAAATTGAAGAATAAAAACCATATGATCATCTCAATAGATGCAGAAAAAGCTTTTGACAAAATTCAACACCCACTTATGATAAAAACTCTCCAGAAAGTGGCCATACAGGGAATCTACCTCCTCATAATAAAGGCCATATATGACAAACCCACAGCAAACATCATTCTCAATGGTGAAAAACTGAAAGCATTTCCTCTGAGATCAGGAACAAGACAAGCAAGTCCACTCTCACCACTATTAGTTAACAGAGTTTTGGAAGTCCTAGCCATGGCAATCAGAGAAGAAAAAGAAATAAAAGGAATCCAAATTGGAAAAGAAGAAGTAAAACTGTCACCGTTTGCAGATGACATGATAGTATACATAAATAATCCTAAAGATGCCACTGGAAAACTACTAGAGCTAATCAATGAATTTGGTAAAGTTGCAGGATACAAAATTAATGCACAGAAATCTCTTGCATTCCTATATACTAACAATGAAAGATCAGAAAGAGAAATTAAGGAAATAATCCCATTCACCATTTCAACAAAAAGAATAAAATACCTAGGAATAAACCTACCTAAGGAGGTAAAAGACCTGTACTCAGGAAACTATAAGACACTGATGAAAGAAATCGAAGATGACACAAACAGATGGAGAGATATACCATGTTCTTTGATTGGAAGAATCAATATTGTGAAAATGACTATACTACACAAAGCAATCTAGAGATTCAATGCAATCCCTATCAAATTACCAATGGCATTTTTTACACACAACTAGAACAAAAAAATCTTAAAATTTATATGGAGACACCAAAGACCCCGAATAGCCAAAGCAATCTTGAAGGAAAAAAATGGAGCTGGAGGAAGCAGACTCCCTGACTTCAGACTATAGTACAAAGCTACAGTAATCAAGACAATATGGTAATATGGTACTGGCACAAAAACAGAAATATAGATCAATGGAACAGGATAGAAAGCCCAGAGATAAACCCACACACCTATGGTCAACTAATCTATGACAAAGGAGGCAAGGATATACAATGGAGAAAAGACAGTCTCTTCAATAAGCAGTGCTGGGAAAACTGGACAGCTACATGTAAAAGAATGAAATTAGAACACTCTCTCACACCATACACAAAAATAAACTCAAGATGGATTAGAGAACTAAATGTAAGACCAGACACTATAAAACTCTTAGAGGAAAACATAGGAAGAACACTCTTTGACATAAATCACAGCAAGATCTTTTTTGACCCACCTCCCAGAGTAATGGAAATAAAAACAAAAATAAACAAATGGGACCTAATGAAATTTAAAAGCTTTTGCACAGAAAAGGAAACTATAAACAAGACTAAAAGACAACTCTCAGAATGGGAGAAAATATTTGCAAACGAATCAACAGACAAAGGATTAATCTCCAAAATACATAAACAGCTCAGGCAGCTCAATACCAAAAAAACAAACAACCCAATCAAAAAATGGGCAGAAGACCTAAATAGACATTTCTCCAAAGAAGTTATACAGATTGCCAACATACACGTGAAAAGCTGCTCAACATCACTAATCATTAGAGAAATGCAAATCAAAACTACAATGAGGGGGCTTCCCTGGTGGCACAGTGCTTGAGAGTCCGCCTGACGACGCAGGGGATGCGGGTTTGTGCCCCTGTCTGGGAAGATCCCACATGCCGCCGAGCGGCTGGGCCCGTGAGCCATGGCCGCTGAGCCTGCGCGTCCGGGGCCTGTGCTCCGCAACGGGAGAGGCCACAACAGTGAGAGGCCCGCGTACCGCAAAAAAAAAAAAAAAAAAAAAAATACAATGAGGTTATCACCTCACACCAGTTAGAATGAGCACCATCAGAAAATCTACAAACAACAAATGCTGAAGAGGGTGTGGAGAAAAGGGAACCCTCTTACACTGTTGGTGGGAATGTAAATTGATACAGCCACTATGGAGAACAGTATGGAGGTTCCTTAAAGAACTAAAAATAGAACTACCATACGACCCAGCAATCTCACTACTGGGTATATACCCTGAGAGAACCATAATTCAAAGACACATGAACCCCAATGTTCATTGCAGCACTTTTTACAGTGGCCAGGTCATGGAAGCAACCTAAATGTCCATTGACAGATGAATGGATAAAGATGATGTGATACATATATACAATGGAATATTACTCAGCCATAAAAAGGAATGAAATTGGGTCAATTGTAGAGATGTGGATGGACCTAGAGATTGTCATACAGAGTGAAGTAAGTCAGAAAGAGAACAATAAATATCATATATTAACGCATATATGTGGAATCTAGAAAAATGGTACAGATGAACCTATTTCCAAGGCAGAAATAGAGACACAAACATAGAGAACAAACATATGGACAGCAAGGGGGGAAAGGGGGATGAGGGTTGGGATGAATTGTGAGACTGGGATTGACATATATACACTAATATGTATAAAATAGATAACTAATAAGAACCTGCTGTGTAAAAAATAAAATAAAATAAAATTCAAAAAAAAGAATGAACTATGAACATTTTCTCACACCATATACAAATATAAACTCAAAATGGAAAAAAAACCCTGTTAAATTAACCTTACATTATTCCAAATTGACAAAGGCAGGTGTAAGTCCAAATACTGCTTGATAATACACAAAGTATACAAGTAGAGGGTCTTTGTTTACAGGGCAATAGGTTTTGTTCAAAAACTGGTCAGAATTAAGCTCATAGAAACTTAAAAATGGAAACCTCTGGGGACTTACCTGGCAGTCCAGTGGTTAAGACTCCACGCTTCTGCTGCAGGGGGCACTGGTTTGATCCCTGGTCAGGGAACTAAGATCCTGCATAGCTGCAGGGTGCAGCCAAAAAACAAAAACAAAAACAAAACTCTGAAGGGATTAAAGGAGGAGAGAAAAGAGAAAGAGAACAGGAAGATTGTGGTTCTTTACATGTACCTACCTCTCCATTACTGTAGCAGGTGAGCACCCCGATTGTTATAGGTCATTTTCCAGCAAGGGCAAGAGAGACTGCTCTGCACCCACCAGGTTTCAATGGACCGCTCCTGGAGTGGCTTTCAGAGTCACTGGATGATCCAGAGTCGGAGTATGATGTAGGCAGGGTATGCTAATCAAACATCGAAGGAAAATCAACAAGATGCAATGCTTGGGTTTTCAGCAGGGTTCTGCCAGCCTTCTCTGGAATGTCATGTATAGTGTTCTGAGGGAAGGGTACATCAATATTATCCAGGTGGGCTGAGGAAAAAAAAACATAATAATTGCAGACTTACTTTTCTGTTATAAAATTTTTAGCCAACTATTAGTCGGACTGAGTAGTAGTAATGCAAATCTTTCCAGGGCCAGGGTATTGCTTTTTGTCCAGCTTGAGGAACACTTCATCAAAATATTAAAGTGCCTCAAACAGAATCTCCTTACAAAGTATTTTCATGGATAGCAGTCATTAAATTGCAGCTCAAGTCTTGGCAGTAACGTGTTATAGTTTTCACTGTAGAGGTCTTACATGTCTTTTGTTAAATTTGTTCCTAAGTATTTTGTGGATTTTAATGCTTGTTTAAATGCTAATGATTTTATTTCTTCCTTTGTAATATGTATGACTTTTATATCTTTTTCTTACCTTTTTACATTGGCTAAGGTCTCCAGTATAATATTGAAAAAAGTGGTGAGAGTGAACATCTTAGCTTTGTTTATAATCTTGAGGGAAGAATATTCAATATTCTTTAGGTATTCTTTAGGTATAATCAACCTTTAGGTATGATATTATCTTTAGGTTCTTCCTAAATGCTTTTAAATTTAACAAAAAGTTCCCTTTCATGTCCTAGTTTGCAAAGAGGTTTTTGTTTTAAAATCATGATGGCTATTGAATTTTATGAGGCATTTTTGCATTTATTGGTATGGTTATATGGTTTTTCTCCTTTATTCTGTTACAGTGGCAAATAACACCAACTGATTATCAAATGTTAAGGCAACCTTCTATTCCTAGAATACACCTACTTAATCAGGATGTAGTATTGCTGCTTTTGACTTGCTAATATTTTGTGAAAGATTTTTGCAACTTAAGAGATGTTGGTCTCCAATTTTCTTGTAGTGTTTCTGTCAAGTTTTTGGCAGTATTATCTTGGCTTCATAAAATGAGTTGGGAACACTTTCTATTTTCTAAAGGAGTTTGTGTAAGATTAGTATAATTTCTTCCTTAAATGTTTGATAGAATTCCCGAAGAAAACCATCTGGACCTGCAGTTTTCTTTGCAGGAAGGCTTTCCATCATCAATTCAACTTTAAAAATAGAGTTATGAAAATTTTCTATTTCTTTTTGTATCAGTTTGGTAAGTTGTGTTTTTAAAAGAACTCTTTTCATCTATTTGTCAAGTTTATAGGCATAAAGTTATTCACTACATTCCTTTATTTGCCTTTTAATGTATGTAGGGTCTGTGGTGATATTCCCTCCTTCATTTTTAATGGTGGTAATGTGTACTTTCCCTCCTTTTTTTCTTGATCAGTCTGCAGCATTCCCAAAAGTATGTCATGTCAGTGTTCTTTTTTCCCCAGGACAAGCAAAAAGGACGATCTTCTTTCAATATGAAGAGGTAGTACCCTCTTCTCTTTTCTTCTATTTCCCATCATACAACACACACACACACACACTCACACACACACACACACACGTACATGCACACGAGCATATACACTTACAGATAAGGCAGACTGTATCTAGGAGATCCCTCATTTTCCTAATGATAAGTTCCTCAAAATGTTCTTTGGACAACTAGAAGACATAAACTTTGGGGGATATAGGCAAAATTTTTAAATGTCTACTTATAATTGTTAATTACTATGATTATACATCTGTATTTCACATCATATGTTTTATTGAGTTTTTTGGAATGTAATTTAATTTTTTTAATTGAGTATATTTGACATACAATATTATATGTTTCATGTATAGTATTGAGCTCTTGTGTTAAAATATATGTATCATATAAAACTGAAAATTTAAATGTGTCATTTATTATATGTGAATTATACCTCAATAAAACTGTTAAAGAAAAGAATATATGTGTATCATAAAATTTACCATTTTAAGTGTACAATTCAGTGGCATTAAGTGCTTTCACAATGTTGTGCAACCAATACCACTATCCATTTCCAGAATTTTATCATCCCAAACAGAAAATCTGTGCCCATTAAACAACTCCCCATTGCCCCTTCCTTCCAGGCCCTGGTAACCTCTATTCTACTTACTGTCTCTATGAATTTGCCTGTTCTAGGTACCTCATAGAAGTAGAATCATACAATACTTGTCCTTTTGTGTTTGGCTTATTTCACTTAGCAAAATGTTTTCAAGGTTCATCCATGTTGTAGCATGTATCAGAATTCCATTCCTTTTTATGGTTGAATAATATCCCATTGTATATATATACAACAACTTGTTTATCCATTCACCTGTAGATGAACTTTTGGGCTGTTTCTACCTTTTGACTATTGTGAATAATGCTGTTATGAATATTGGTGAACAAGTGCCTGTTTGAGTCCCTGCTTTCAGTTTTTTTGTGGTATATACATTGGAATGGAATTGCTGGGTCATACAGTAATTCAATGTTTAACTTTCTGAGGAACTGCTAAACTATCTTCCACAGCGGCTAAACCATTTTACTTTCCTACAGCAATACATGAAGATTCCAATTTCTCCAAAGCATTGCCAACACTTGTTATTTTCCTTTTTTGTTTGTTTTTGTTTTAGAATCATAGCCATCCTAATGGGCATAGAGTGGTATCTCATTGTGGTTTGGATTTGCATTTCCCTAATGACTAATGATGTTAAACATCTTTTCATGTGCTTATTGTCTAGTTGTATATCTTCTTCGGAGAAATGCCTATTCAAGATCTTTTCCCATTTTTGAATTGAGGTTTTTTTAACCCATTGCCTCATAGGAATTATTTATATATTCTGGATTAACATCCTTTATCAGATAGATGATTTGCAAATATTTTCTGCTACTCTATAAACGGTCTTTTTATTTTCTTGATAATGTCCTTTAATGCACAAGTGTCTTTGATGAAGTCCAATTTTTCTATTTTTTCTTTATTGCCTATGCTTTTGGTGTCATATCCAAGAAATTATTGCCAAATCCAATGTCATAAAGACTTTCCCCTATGTTTTCATTTTAAAGTTCTATACTTTTAGCTCTTAAGCTTAAGCCTTTGATCTGTTTTGAGTTAATTTTTGTATATGGTATATGGTAAAGATCCAACTTCATTCTTTTGCATATGCATATCCAGTTTTCTCACTACCTTTTGTTAAAAAGACTGTCTTTCCCCATTTAATAGTCTTGGCACTCCTATTGAAAATCAATTGACCAGATGTGCTTGGGTTTATTTGGGGGCTCTATTCTCTTTTGGTCTATATGTCTATCCTCATGCCACTATCACACTGTTTTGATTACTATAGGTAAGTAATAAGTTTTGAAATCAGGAAATGTTAGTCTTACAAATTTGTTATTTTTCAAGATTGTTTTGGCTATTGTAGGCTTACATTGACTTTTAAATACTGATTTCCCCCCTCATATTTCATGACTCCATTTTAATCAAATATGTCACATGCAACTTCAATATAGTTTATTTTGGTAAAATTCTTTAAAGTGCATTAATTAAGCTCATATGAGATTGGAAAGTAGGGAAATGATGTCAGTATGCCATGGAAACTATATTGGTTCATCTGCACAATTTCCCAGCATGTAATATTTTGTGGCATCAAATAGAGCAGGGAGATGCAAGCACATTGGCAGGGTTGAATATAGGAAATACAAAGAAAGTGAGTATCGAGAACAATGCCCTTTCTCTCTATGTTCTCTTTTTCTTTTGAAATAATTTTCCACTTAAAGGAAAGTTGCAGAAATAGTACAAAGAGCTTACATATGCCTTTCTCCCAGCTTCCGTAATTTTCACAATTCCATAACCATTATACAATTACCAAAACAGAAAAATAGCATTGGTGAATACTATTAACCAAACACAAATCTTATTTAAATTTCACTCATTTTCCCCTTAATGTCCTTTTTCTGCTTCAGGATCCAACCCATGATCCACATTGCATTTAGTTATTGGCTCCTTGGTTTCCAGCAATCTGTGATGGTTTCTCAGTCTTTCTTTGTCTTTCATGACCTTGATAGTTTGTAGAATGTCTTTCAACTTGGGTTCGTCTGATGTTTTCTCGTGATTAGCTTGAGGTGTTGCATTTTTAGCAAGATTACCCCAGAAGTGATATTGTGTCCATCTCAGTGCATAATGACTTCAATGTGATTTGTTGCTGGTGATTTATTAACCTTGATCCCTTGGCTAAGGAGGTGTCTGCAGATATTCTCCACAGTAAAGTTACCAGTTTTCCCTATGTAATTGACAAATATCTTGGAGAAATACTCTGAGACTATGAAATATCTTCTTTCTTCTCGAACACTCACAACTGATTTTAGCATCCATCAAACTGACCAGACATGCAACACTTACTATGGTGGTGTCTGCCTGGTGGTAATTTTTTTTATTTCTCTCATTTCTTCTAAATTTATTAGTTGGAATTCTTTTGTAAGAAGAGATATTGTTTCCCCATACATGTATTTATTCAATTCCTTTTTTAAAAAATTTATTTAATTAATTTATTTTTGGCTGTGTTGGGTCTTCGTTGCTGCGTGCAGGCTTTCTCTAGTTGTGCAGAGTGGGGGCTACTCTTGGTTGTGGTGCGCGGGCTTCTCATTGCGGTGGCTTCTCTTGTTGCGGAGCATAGGCTCTAGAGCGCAGGCTCAGTAGTTGTGGCACACGGGATTGGTTGCTCCATGGCATGTGGGATCTTCCCGGGCCAGGGCTTGAACCTGTGTCCCCTGCATTGGCAGGTGGATTCTCAACCACTGTGCCACCAGGGAAGCCCTTCAATCCTTTTTTATGTTGGTATGGATTCATGGAAATTTGTTTTCTGAGCTCAAATTCAATACTATTATTATTAATTTATGTTTTGCAGTATGCGGGCCTCTCACTGTTGTGGTCTCTCTCGTTGCGGAGCACAGGCTCCGGACGCGCAGGCTCAGCAGCCATGGCTCACAGGCTCAGCCGCTCCGCAGCATGCGGGATCTTCCTGGACCGGGGCACAAACCTGTGTCCCCTGCATCGGCAGGCGGACTCCCAACCACTGAGCCACCAGGGAAACCCTAAGATTTTTTAACTTATGATTTCTTGGCTTTACAATGGTGT